GTTAGCCGTTATTTTATCATTCATTTGATATATAATTTACAATATTTTAAATGGTTTATAAAATTATCAGATAATTGTATATATCACAATGACTTAAAAATTAAAGTATAATGTTTAATAAAACCAATATGTTAACTAAATGTTTGCTTTACTACTAACATTTTGTTTCAAAGTAGAAATATTAAATAATAATTTGGTAAAAATTATTATTATAACTATATAATTCTATTCTCGCGCAACGCGCGAAGATGCGCTTAGTTTTTCATCATATGCTAACAGAAAAAGATAATGGTAGACACTAGGTATAAGATAATTCTAAATGCTTTAAGTGGTTTAGAAGGGCAAAAGAACCCAAACCTCAATAATTTATATTGCCTTCACAATCCAGTACAAATTAATTCAATATCTTCTTGTTATTTCTATCAGGTTCTTTGTTTAATATGTGCTAATAGATTCTTTGCTAACAAATTATTTTAACATGTTCTTTGCTAACAAATTGAGATGATGAAAAAAAATCCTATCACGTGAAATTTCAACACAAATTATAGATTTAAATCAATAATTCATCATAGTATCTAATAGCATGTGGGATTAACATAAGCCAATAACGAGGAGCATTAATGATAGGAGATGATGATTAAGCGTAGAAATGTAAAATATAAACAATTTCAAATAAAAAAAAGATGATTCAACCTATCAAAAATATATCATTCAAGTTAATAAATGGTTTTAATCTTTTTTATACAACCATTTAAAAGTGCTTATTAGTGATGTCAAACCACAATAAATTATATCTTATAAAAATCAATAATAAATTTATATCTTATATAAAACAATCTAAAAACTCTTTAAGACATAAATAAATAAACTCTTTAATCTTTTAGTGTTTTTTTTCCAATTATAACAATAATTTTTTTTTTCAATTATAGCAACCTTTAACCTATTTTTATGGTAACCAATTATTATTGGTTACAAAAATATAACCTTATAAATTAATTTGAAGATTATAAGTTAACTATATAACTTATTGGTTAATTAATTTGGAGTTAGTTTGGGTAAAAACTATAAACTGTCTAGTTTTTGTATATAAGTTTTTAAACAATTTTATAATTTTTTATTTTGTGTTTTTTTTTAATTATAACAATAATTTATTTTTATTTTTTTTCAATTATAGCATCCTACTTATACCAAAACCACATAGTTTTACATAATACATAAGAGGATGAAATTCACATACTTTTACATACATATACCACATATACACCAAATACAAATACATACACATACACACAAAATAACATTCTACTTAAACCAAATATACATAATTTCACATATATACATAATTAGATCCTATTTATACCAAATACAAAAGTTTCACAATCATATACCACATTTACAACAAACATACATACATTCACATACACACAATAACATCCTACTTATAACAAATACATATAATTTCTACCAAATACTAATATACCACATATACATCAAACACACTTACATTGGCATATATTCAAACAAATACGAAATATACTATCTAATTTTCATATATGACAATTTTCACATAATTTCACATATAAATACAAAATTCACAAAAAAAAATGAAATAATAGAACCTGTAGTGGCGGAAATCAACGGATATGTAGCCAGAAAAACTAGTCTTCATCCGAAAGTACCCTCACCGAAAAAACTAAATAACACCACCAAAATCACTGAAATTGAACAATTTATTGCAATTTACTCATCAAATTCAGCTTTTAATAATCATCAAATGTCCGTAAAGGCTAAACTACAAGTGAAAGTTATACAACTAATTGTCATTCAATCACCACAAACAAGAAATTGAACAACTTACTTCTAATCCAAAACAACACCACCAAAAACAAGAATATGAACAATTTATTACCATTCAATCACTAAATGAAGCTACAAATCGAAATTAGCATACAAATTAAAAATGAAATTACTAAATCAAGTTGCCTTTCTTCAAGAAATGGAATTAGAAATTGGTCCCAAAAGCTTTAACCACACCTAGAGAAATTTGCTTGGAACAATGTGGAGAGAAATTTGCTTGGAACAAGCAAATTGAAGAGAAAAACGGTGAATAATGTGAAATGGCGAAAGGAAACTGGGAGCAAACAGAAAGAAGAAGAAGAATGGAGGGTTTCTGCGTGCACTTTTTTTTATCTGCGAGAGGCAATAGCGGCGACTCCTTTAGTGGCGACAGGGAACCCTTTACCGGCGACAATCACTAATAGCGGCGACAAACTGGAGGGAAGGGTACCGCGTCATTTTTAGTGAACTATTAGCGGCGATTTTTTTTAACCTTTAACAGCGACATATATGTTGTCGGTATTAGGTTAGACAGGATAAGACACCCCACCCGTTGGATTGGATATCTCATCGAATGGTTCAGATGTAACAGAGGGGGAAAGCGCAGATTCGGGTGGCAACCCGGTAGGGGTGTCAATTTATGACACGACACGACAAAAATACACGACACGAAACGAAATCGGGACGAAATCAAAATTCGAATTTGTTTTCGTGTCAAGTTTAAAAAACACGATGTCGTGTCGTGTTCGTGTTTACAAATCCACACGAAATTGACACGATTGAGCATGTATTTGTCGTGTTTTCGTGTTTGTTGTTTTTATCGTGTTATATATGATTAAATATGAATTAAATAAAATAATAGTTAGGTAATATTATCTTTGTCGTGTCGTGTCGTGTTGTCGTTTTTTAATTGGTTCGTTTTCGTGTTAGTGAAAAAAAACACGACATCGTGTCATGGCGTGTTCGTGTTACAAAAAACATTGTCGTGTCGTGTCAGACAAAAACACGATACGATGGCCCGATTTGACAGGCCTAATTACCGGCGACATTGGTTTTTAGCGGCGACAATATCTAAAGTCGCCGGTAATAGTGTCGCCGCTAAAGGGTATATTTCTTGTAGTGAGAGAGAACTTCTATGTCATGTTGAGTGCATGAATGAGCTTGATCTAGGAATAATCGGGTATAGGTTGTCTTGGTTTTGCAACGTATCATTCAATTATATGTGACTCTTTGGTTGGTTGCAGTTATGGTTTAGCTTTGGATGTGATGGTGAATAATATGTGTAGTTGTAATGGCAACTTTTGATCTTCATGTACTGTAAGGGGTTATGGTTGGAGTTTTTGGTTATTTAATTGTGTCATTAATTCGCTATGTAACTGGTGGGTGTTGTGTCTTACTAAATCTCCATTGTTGTAATTGTTATGAGTTTGTAATATCATTTGTTGAGTCAGGTTAACACATATACGGACGGCTGAAGGTTCAAGGGACGTTTTGTTCGGTTATGATACCAGCATACATACGTAAATATGTGGTAATTAAACAACATTGATATAGTTTTAATGGATCATGAGATAGTAATTTTTCATATCTATGTTTCCTCGCTTCTGTTTACATTAGTATGAAATTTATCCTCTATTTGTTTGTTTGATAATCCCCGGGAAATCGTATTTTTGCTATTGTTAAAGGGAGTCTCATGGGGAAGTTTGCTACTATTTTGAAAACATTTCTTGTTGGTTTGTTGACCTACAGTTACTCGAGTTCAAGAACGAGTCTTTGTCCCACCTTTATTCCATACTTTCCCATGGGACAAAAACTAACAATATGGTTTTATTAGCATCAATCTCAGAGACTCAGACCCATTCTCATACATGTTGGACGCAGTACAACATCATAGTTCCAAACCAATGTAAGCCTCTAGAAATCACCCTGGTTCTATTTGGCCGGGGTGTGGGCCTCTTTTCCCAAAACTTTCACAATGGCACCAAAGCAATGTAGTACGTTTCCACGTTCAACACAAAGCATACAAATATTTAAAACACAATACTACACCTGTCCAGTTTCAACTTTTGTTCGATCACTATGTGCATCAATGAATCAAAGCTATCTTTCTAGCATTTACAAGTCTACAAAGAATAGAAGCTGCAAATTTTAACTACTTTTTTTCGACCATCAGAGTTTTTCTTCCTCTTCTTTTATCTCGTTCTTGGTCTTGAACCCTCTGTCACATGTGAGCTGCTTGACCTTTGACTATGCTTCGGGTTGATGTTCTGACTTTTCAGAAGTCTTATTTTCAAACCTGGAACTAGATCTTGGGTGTCATTGGTTCTCTGGGGTCCGAATTTTGGGGGTTTTTCGTAATAAATGGTTGCATCAAGGGCATATATTCGTAGAGCAAGGGCTGAAATATTTGAGATTTTAGCCACGCGGCTGTGTCTCAAATATTTGAGATCTTAAGTACTTTGTTTTAATTACGTCCTCTAATACTTAAGTACTTTGTTTTAATCACGTCCTCTAATATATATGATCGTTGCTTGCATCATCTTATTAAACCCCAACAAATCTTAAGATAACCACATTAAAGGTGTCTAAATGTTTGGGAAATTCTGAATACTAAAATAAGAAAAGTTTAAATAGTGGAATACTAGATTTAATATGCTTCGAATTATGCTAATCACTAAAATACTAAAAAAAAAAAGTTACACATTTATATCGCAAAAAGGGATTTGCAAAACAGTCCTATGAATAGCCGGACTAAAAATTCGCAGTCTATTTTTGCAAAAAATTTGCATATTTATAAAATTTTAAAAAAAAATCACTAAAAAGTTAGGGAAAATGTCACTGTAACCCACCAAACTTTCAGATTTTGGTTTAAATGGTCCCTTGTGATATTTTTTTGCATTATAAGGGAACGAATTCATGTTTTCAGAATTTAAAATGCCATTATCAAAAATGTGAAAGGATCACCCGTTGAACCCCTTCTTTTTCATCATGTACCATTAGACAAGTAGGCCACTTCACTTGCCACATGTCTAAATATTTGAGACGTCACAATGACCCTCTATGGGATCGATGAATTTCTCTATATTGCAACCTCTATGAATCAGATCTAGGTCAAGAGACCCTGCCAAAAACGTGAATAGACTCCAACGTTTCGTTAACCTCCCATGATTGTGATGTCGAGCGTCCTCAACCAGATTTTTTACAAGCATATGATGGATAGTCCTTACAAGCCCTCAATTCAACATTGTAGTGTTCTTCTAAAAACCATTGCAGGCAACATTTCACCAAATTTGGATCTTGTTTTTCGGGTAGTAAATAAATTTGAAGCCACGGGAAACTCTCTTTCAACAAGCGTTTATGATGGTATTCATAGATCATTAACAAGTGTAGCTCAATTTGATGAAGCCAAGAAGATGATGACAGCCATGAAAGATGCAGGATACAAACCCAATAACATAACCTACAGCCAATTAATCTTTGGTATATGCAAAGCCAGAAGACTAGAAGATGCAGCCAAGGTGCTCGATGAAATGCAAGCCAATGGTTGCAATCCTGACATCAAGACATGGACGATTCTAATCAAGGGACACTGTTCAGCCAATGAAGTTGACAAAGCTCTAATCATTTTCGCCAACATGATCGAGAAAGGTTGCAAGGCTGATGCAGATCTTTTGGATGTTTTGGTACATGGGTTATTGAGTCAAAACAAGGCTATTGAAGCACACCAGGTGCTTGTTGAAATAACTGAGACAAGACAGGTGGGGTGAAACCATGGCAGGCGACTTACAAGAATTTGATCAAAAAACTGTTGTTAGAGAGGAAATTTGAGGAGGCCTTGAAGCTCCTAAGGCTGATCCAAAAACTGCTTGTAAGGACTATCCATCATATGCTCGTAAAGCTCTACTTCTTCTTTCTTGAACATTCAGGACGTTGGGTTTGATTTTGGCTTAATTTCATCTGGGTTCAATTTTTAATGGTGGGGGTTTGATTTAGGCTTAATTTCATCGTCCAGCCATAAACACATGATCTTCATCCCCTGATCTCTCCCAATCTTGATCTGATTTGGGTAGTGGGAAGGGTCAACTAGTGAGTGGAGGGGAGGGGAGGACTTTCACCGGCTGGTGGCTAAAGTAGAGATGAAGCAGAGCAACGAAAAAAGGAGGCATCATCGTTGACGGTAACCAAAGCAACAATATATAGGGTTCGGTAAACAGGGCGGTCATAGGTTTCAAACCTATGATGTTTTTATTTTTCTGAAGTAATGGTGAGGTTTGATTTGGGTTTAATTTTGACAGGGATACCTTCATCTTCAATTTCATACCCAAGATAAAAAAAAATGCTTTCATTTATGTTAGAAAGAAAACCAGGATGGAAAGGAGGGAATGAGACGATCTGAAGAAGGAAATAAGGGAAGAAGGTGGTGGGGACCAATATTTGTTGACTAGGACCGATATAGAGATATATAATTACAAATCAACATATTATTTTCTATGTGGTACTCTTTTTGACATCAGTAACCTATTATTACAGGTGACTTGACCAAAATAACCGATAAGAGTTGAATTCGTTCCCTTATAATGCAAAAAAATATCACAAGGGACCATTTAAACCAAAATCTGAATGTTCGTTGGGTTACAGTAACATTTACCCAAAAAGTTAATGTGCAGAATATTTTCGTAAAAGTAATTTGACAATCACTTGTTTTGCAAAATATGTGGTCATTTTTTAATAAACGTGTAATAGATGGTAAGTTGGTGTCCAAACACCTCTGATTTTGATCACTTCATTGATCTTCCTTATAATTATGGCATTGAAATGTACTATGAATTTAAGCTCCAAAAAAACGGTATTTGATAGATGAAAAGCAACAAATACAGCAGCAAAAAAAAAAAAAGCCACTACCTAAATCCTAACTTGACGCCATGCTAATTAAAAGAGACAAATGCAGCAGCAAGTATTTGTGAGAGCAGAAGCAGGTCGAGAGTTACATAGCAGTGCATTTCATGTCAAAATCCAGCCAATCATAGGTTTTGGAATTCATTTCAATAGTAATCAAATAAAACCGGCTACTTGATCTTGTATAAAATAACAAATCCAACAAATATTTTCAAAACTGACACCTTTAAACAACATCCATATTACAAACACAAAATCCAAATACTAGTATATATAAAAAGCAAAATATCAATATTAGAAACCAAAGCAACCATTGATTCCCAAGGATCTATGCGGCATCTCTTCCTCTCTTGATCTTGGCAACTCTTACCATGACTACAACGTATATATTTTCCATCATATCCTCAGCAAACTTGAAAAGTTTCTTTGACCACTGTTTCTTCAACAACAGAACTCCAATAACCCCCCAAAACCCTGTTACAAAACCACAAATTATGTTCGTATATAACAACAATACATTGATCTGCTCCTCAGCTGCTTTGTTTTTCTTCTTGCTTGTTGTTGGGTGTTCTCCTGGATTTGAGCAATTATTAGGCAGTGGAGGCCCACATAGATCTTTGTTCCCTTCATATATCGATGGATCAATCAGGGTCTGCAGTTGCCTTCCTGTTGGAATTCGTCCTGACAAGTTGTTGTGAGACAAATTCAAATGGCTCAAAAAAGTCAAATCTGCCATGCTCGGAGGGATCACACCAGTCAACTCGTTTCCAGATAAATCAAGAGAATTTAACTCTGACATGTTTCCTATGGTGTCTGGAATACCCCCACTGAGATGATTATTTGACAAATTGAGACCCACCAACAAGGAAAGTGCAGTTAGCTCGACAGGTATTTCTCCAACAAGTTGATTGCTCGAAAGGTCCATGTTAAAAACCATATCCCAAGTTGTTGTATATTCAAGATCAACACCTTTCATGACCTGATCAACATTCTCATCAGAGTCGAAAGAGGGAGGAGCAGAGTACCTATATCCGCCATCATTAACCATGGCATTCAACTCTCCTAGACATCGAGGAATATGTCCCTTTAAGTTGTTGTGTGCAACATCCAAAATTTGAAGATTTGAACCTTTACACAAATACTCGGGAATTCTTCCGGTGAAGTTGTTCTTGTGTAACCTCAAAACTCTCATATATGAAAGTGTTGCTCCGAACCATTCTGGTATGTTTCCAGACAATTTATTATTACCCAGATCTAAGATACTTAAAACTCGTAGATTACCCAATTCTCGAGGAAGTTCACCAATAAATTTGTTATCATTCAGTTTTAACCGCTCTAAAGAATTAGGAGCCATAAAACTTGGAATTACACCTGACAGCTGATTTGAGCTAAGTATCATGGTACGCAAATGTTGCAGATTCTCAAGACACTTGGGAACCTGACCGATTAACCTATTTCTGGAAAGATCGAGATATTCGAGATCCGTCCTTCTGCACAATGACGTTGGAATTGACTCGTTGAAAAAGTTATTTTCCAGAAATAATATCGGAAATTTATAGTTCCGACCATAAGTTTCTCCATTAGGAAGGTTTATCAAAGGTCCGTTGAGTTTGTTGTGGGAGAGATCTAGGTAACCAATGATGGGCATCTTCCGCAACCATGTTGGCAGATGTCCTGAAATTGTAGTATTAGACAAATCCAACACATGAAGGTTCCTCTGATTTCGAAGCCAATGCGGAAATCTATTTGTGATATTGCAAGAACGAAGTAGAAGTGATACCAATTGGAATGGAGGTATCCAGTCACGTGAAATATTGTATCTCAACTTGGTGTTAGAAGAAGTATCCAAGTACGTCAACATTGAAAGGTTGGCAAAATGGGCTTCAGAAACTACTCCTTCTAAAGAGTTGTTAGAGAAATCAAGATATTGAAGTTTGGCAAGTTGCCCAATTGAAACTGGAATAGTCCCATTTAACAAATTTGAAGACACCCGAATGAATTGTAAAGATATATGTCTTCCTAGAGATGTTGGGATGGGACCAGTTAACCAATTGGAACTTAGATCCAAATATGTTAAAGTTGCTAGATTTCCAATGGATTCTGGAATTGAACCATTCAAGTGATTGGAAGAAAGGTCAAGTTTGGAGAGATTGCCAAGGTGTGTAGGAATGGGACCGGTTAACTGGTTAAAGGAAAGATCAAGATCTATAAGGTTAGGTATAATAGGAAGTGATGAATTCAACATGTTTCCTGAGAGGACAAGGACTCTCAGGGAACTCATATTTGTGAAAACAGATGGAAATGGGCCTTCTATCGAATTTTGGCTGAGAACCAGGTGTCGGATGTTAGAAAGTGTGCTGAAATTATAACTAGGGGAAGATAAATGCGTTTTATCAAGCCCACAAGATGACAAATGCAACTCTGATAAAGAAGGAATCTTGCTTAGCAAGGTAGCAAAGTTCCATGTCCGACTAAGATTAAAGTTAGAAAGATCCAGGAATGTTAAGGTTGATGACATGTTTTGAAGAAATCCAGGGAGTGGCCTATTGAAAGAATTGAAGCCAAGATCCAGGTGTTTGATGTTGGGAAGTATTCTACTCAAATTACGAAAAGGACCAAGATCAGAATCGAAAAGTCTACATCCCCACAAATTTAACACTTTTAAGGAAGGAATCATGTAAAACAGCATGTCCCTGTTTTGTGCTTCGCCAAGATATACCGGACTCAAGTCAAGATGCTCAAGCGATGAAAGGCCAGAAGTCCATGCCATATCATCAACCCTTAGCCCCCACGTGCGTTTGCCTAAACTGAGATCAAGAACCTTTAGATTAGAAAGGTTTCCAATGTGAGGAGGAATAATACCTTGAAAACCAGCTTGAGAAAGATTAAGGTGGGTCAGCTGTTTCAAGGACCCAATGAACTTTGGGATGCGGCTTCCTTGAAAATCATTCCCACTCAAATCCAAGGATTTCAGATGTCTCAACTCTGCCAAAGAAGACATCACCTCATAACCAACTAAGTAGCCTTCATCATTTCCCATGAGATGAAGGCTTACGACATCTCCAGTGACAGTGTCACACTGGATTCCTTCCCACAGGCAGCAGTCATTGCCAATCCATGATGACAACATTCTAGAAGGATCTTCAACACTGTCTTTGAACTTGAGAAGAGCGAGTCTCTCTTTCTCAGAGCAAACAGTGAGACTGGTATTTCCATCACCCAAGCAAGTATATGTGGCTCCAGCAAACAGAAAACCACATACGAAAATGAGATGGAGCCCCAAACCTTTCCGATTCCCCATTAGCAACAGTAAAGCAATTTAGAGATTGGAAAACTGAATTGGAAGTAGAAAGATGAAGTGATGAGTTGCTACAATGAAGGAACTGGTTGATTTTAAAAGCCATGCAAGAGTTAAAAGTCAATGACAGAATTATATTGTCGTGTGTGGTCCTATAGCTAATTTGTTGTTCTTTTGATCAAAATAAGTGATTATATCTGGCCACAAATCTTATAAAATTAAACGGAATTAAACACAGTAATTGACAAACAAACATTTTATACTCGATAGATCAATGACAAATTAGAATATTTTTGTAAATGATTAACAAAGTTGATATATCAAGCCCGATAGAGGATAATTACTTTACATTGAAATTTTCTTATTGTTCAAGGTTACCAGTCAATTTGATCACAGGTTAGTACATAATTAAGAGTTCTATTTAGTTTCATAGTAGACCTCACAGTTCACGTATATGTTTTGTCATTATTTTTTTGACACCTTAATATTGCATACAGCATTTGGTCTATTTTTTTATTATTACTTTAATTGGACACTCAGATATAAAACATTGTTTCTTAAAATACAAGGTTAAGGCAAAGCATCATATCCACTTGAATTAGACAGAATTTGGAATGAATGAAGTCAATGAAAGACTTGTATTATTGGGTGTGGTCATTGGCTAATTGTCTTATCTTGACCAAAATAAGTGGTTTATGACCAAGTCTATTCCCCGTTGCATTGGCAATTGTATATGGCCAAAGCTTTTTACAAAATATGAATTTAATATGACACAATATTCAACAAACAAGCATTTATATTCTCGAGAAATCAAAGATAATTCATAATATTTTTGTAAATGATCAATAAATAACAAAGTTGTTGTGTCAAATTCATTACGGTTGTGTTAGAACTTAGACGTGACAATTTTGAACCATGTAGTTGGAAATGGATAAGATTATACTCTTTCTATCTCAAAAATATGGTCCACGGACAAAAAGCAAACAGATTAAGAAAATATTAATTATCATCAACTTTATTAGATGAAATGACAGTCGTACCCTTTTGTTGCATTTAATTTCATGGTAGTTTAACTAATAATAGAAACATGTATGATGTAAGACCCAATCCGAGAGCACGATTTGATCAAATCAAGAAATATCTTTATATGGATCAAAACAACGTCAAATGGGGTGCAATCGCCTTGGTGAATATTTGTTGAAGTACGGATATACAAGTTGTTCTATCTGGCCATGCATTTTTATAGAAGTATTTGGTTCCAATTTTGTTATGATTTCCATATATTTTGATTATTTGAATACAATTAGAACTCCCAAATAGCTTTCTAGAGCAGTTGAATACATGACTAAAGAAGGAATTTGAGATGAAATATTCTAGAAAGAAAAAAAATTGCCTTTGGGGTATATATTAAATATTTAAAGAATGGAATGCTTGTGCACGAAGAAACTTATAGCAATAAAGAATCATCACTGCAGGAGCTAACTGAAAGCAAAAATATTGTACATAATGGTATCGTTTTCATGGTATAAAAGGACAGGCACTGCTCCTTAGACAAGAGACACTGCCTACTGAAAAAGGTATAAAAAACTCATGACCATATCACCTAAGGACATAACTTATTAATGTATAAGTGCACCTTAAAATAAAAATTAGTAAGTATGGTTTTCGGGTTTGCAAAAATTGATTCATTAGAAAGTCAATCCTTGAAAACAAGTCTTGGAGAGCTTCTTTTGTCTTGAAATAGTGCATAATGATGTTAATTTGTCGCCCAATTAGTGTTGAAATAGTGCACGTCTATTTTGCCTATCTATAATGCAAGAAATAGGTAAACTTGTAAAATATGAAAATAGATTTCATAAAATACATTGTGCAAAATTATCATATTATACGAAAAATGGTTGTAAAAGTAATTTAAATTTTTTTTTTTTTTTGTGAAATAAGTGGTCACTGGTCAATTTGTGATAAATGTGTAAAAGGTGGTCATTTACTGTCTAAACTCCAAACAGCCCTCATTTTTGGTGAATTCAGTGATATCCCTTACAATTATGTTATTTAAATCAACTATGATTTGAAGCCTGAAAAAAAACTGAAATAGAAAGATAAAATACGACAAACAAAGCAGCAGAACCAATATATATATATATATATATATATATATATATATATATATATATATATATATATGTGTGTGTGTGTGTGTGTGTGTGTGTGTGTTCATCCAAGAAATAGCCATGAACATGAAAAGCCACAAATGCATCAGCAGGTTGTTGACCTTTTGTGAGAGCATAAGAGGTCCAGAGTGAAAGGGCAGGGTATTTTATAAAAAACAAAATCCAAATTAAGTGAAATATCTATCGACTATCGGTATTACAAAGCAAAGCTACGATTGATTCCAAAGGACCTGCACGGCTTCTCTTCCTCTCGTGATCTTGTTAACTCTTACCACGATTGCAACATATATCTTGTCCATGGTTTCCTCAGCAAACATGAAAGGGATCCATCTCCACTGCTTCTTGAACAACAAAAGTCCAATAACTCCCCAAAACCCTGTTGCAAAACCACAAATTATGTCCACGTAAAACAGCCATACCTCAGTCTTCTCATCAGATGCTCCTTGTTTCTTCTTGCTTCTTGTTGGGACTTCTCCAGGTTTTGAGCAATTGTTAGGCAATGGAGGTCCACAGAGATCTTTGTTCCCTTCATATATCGATGGATCTGTAAGTGTCTGCAGTTGCCTTCCTGTTGGAATTCGTCCATACAAGTTGTTGTGTGACAATTTCAAACGGCTCAAAAAGGTCAAATTTGCCATGCTCGGAGGGATCATCCCATTTAACTCGTTTCCAGATAAATCAAGAGATTCTAACTCCGTCATGTTTCCGATGGAGTCTGGAATATAGCGGCTGAGATGATTATTAGACAAGTTGAGACCCACCAACTTGATAAGTGCAGTTTTATTGCTTGAAAGGTCCATATTATAAACCAAATCCCAAGTTGTTGTGTATTCAAGACTAACACCTTTCATGACCTGCTCAACATTTTCGTCATCGTCCAAGAAGCTACCTGGAAAGTATCCATAATCGTGATCATTACCCATGGCATCCAATTCTCCAAGACAAGGAGGGATGGTTCCCTTTAAGTTGTTGTCTGCAACATCCAGAATTCGAAGATGTGAAGCTTTGCGTAATGATTGCGGAATTCTTCCGGTGAAGTTATTTTTGTGTAACCTCAAAACTACCAAATTTGCGAGGTTCTCTGCGACCCATTCGGGTATATTTCCAGACAATCTATTATCACCCAAATCTAAGATACTTAAATATAGTAAATTCGCTAATTCTCGAGGAAGCTCGCCAACAAAGTTGTTGTCGTTCAATTTTAACTGATGTAATGAATTAAGAGCTACAGAACTTGGGACGACACCAGACAACCAATTTGAGCTAAGTATCAAGGTATACAACTGTTGCAGATCCACAAAACACGTAGGAATTTTACCTGTTAACCTGTTTTTGGAAAGATCAAGATATACCAAATCTCTCCTTCTACACAATGAACTTGGAATCGACTCACTGAAAAAATTATTTTCCAGAAACAATGAAGGACCAAATCGATACCGACCATAAGTTGCCACATTAGGAAGGTTTTTCAAAGGTCCGCTAAGTTGGTTGTGAGAGAGATCTAAGTGAGGAATGATGGGCATCTTCCGCAACCATCCAGGCAGAGGTCCTGACATTCTAGCATTGGATAACACTAACATCCAAAGTTTTCTTTGATTTCGAAGCCACTGTGGAAATCCATTTGTGATATTGCAAGAATGGAGTTGAAAATTTTCCCATTGGAATGGAGGTATCCAGTCACTTGAAACATTAAATGTCAGCTTGGTGTTAAGAGAAGCATACAAATGCTTCAACATTGAAAGGTTAGCAAAATGGGCTTCAAAAACTACTCCTTCTAAAGAATTGTTAGAAATATCTAGATGCTGGAGTTTGGAAAGTAGCCTAATTGAAACTGGAATGGTATCATTCAAGAAATTTGAACCCAACGAAACTGATTGTAATGAAATAAGTCTTCCTAGAGATGCTGGAATGGGGCCTTTTAACTGATTGGAGCTTAGATCCAAATATGTTAAACCTGCTAGATTTCCAACAGATTCTGGAATTGAGCCATTTAACTGATTACCTGAAAGGTCAAGTTTGGAAAGATTCCCAAGGAACGTAGGAATGCGACCGGTTAACTGGTTATAGGAAAGGGAAAGATCTAAAAGGTTAGGCATAATAGGAACCAATGAATTCAGCATGTTTCCTGAGAGGTCAAGGGCTCTCAGGGAACTCATGTTTGTGAAGACAGACGGAAATGTGCCATGAATTAAATTTCCACTTAGATCCAGGTATTGGATGTTAGAAAGTGTGCTGAAATTGTGACGAGGGGAAGATAGATGCGTCTTATGGAGCCCACAAGCTGACAAATGCAGCTCTGCTAAAGAAGGTATCATGCTTAGCAGGTTTGCAAAGTTCCATGCCAAACTAAGATTGAATCCTGAAAGATCTAGAAATGTTAGGGATGATGACATGTTTTGAAGAATGCTAGGGAGTGGACCTTGGAAAGAATTGCCGACAAGATCAAGGTGTTTGATGTTGGGAAGTATTCTACTGGAATTAAGAAAAGGACCAAAATCAGCATTAGAAAGTCCACATCTCCACAAACTTAATTTTCTCAAGGAAGGAATCATGTAAAACACCATGTCCCTGTTTCGTGCTCCCCCAAGATCTACTTCGCTCAAGTCGAGATGCTCAAGTGACAAAAGGCCAGAGGTCCATGCCATGTCATCTACCTTCAGACCTCCATTTGAACTGAGATCAAGAACCTTTAAATCAGAAAGATTTCCAATGTGCGGAGGAATAATACCTTCAAAATAAGCATGAGAGAGATTGAGGTAGGCCAGTTGTTTCAAGGATCCAATGAACTTAAGGATCTGACTTCCTTGGAAATAATTCCCACTCAAGTCCAAGTGTTTGAGATTCCACAACTCTGCCAAAGAAGACTTCATCTCATTACCAACTAAGTATTTGTAGCCTTGACGCCAAACATCAAAATCTCCTCTGAGATGAAGGCTTTCTACCTTTCCAGTGACACCATTACAGTGGATTCCTTCCCACAGGAAGCAGTCATTGCCAACCCATGATGACAACATTCCAGAACCATCTTCAACACTGTTTTTGAACTTGAGAAGAGCAAGTCGCTCTTGCTCAGAGCAAACAGTAACACTGGTATTTTGATCACCCAAACAAGGAGTATACGTGGCTCCTGCAAATAGAAAAGCACATACAAAATTGAGATGGAGCCCCAAACCCCTTTGATTCCCCATTATCAACCCTAATTCGGTTAGTTAATTTAGAGATTGGAAAGGAAGAGCTGGAGTAGAAGGATGGATTGTTAAGATGAAGTGATGGGTTCCTATGATGGAGGACCAGGTTGATATATAAATCCATAAAGGAATATCAGCTTCTTGCCATGGAAGACTTGGAAGTCAATGACAAAATTTTATTCTTGTGTGGCCTGTCTATTCCCCATTACAAAGCAATTGAATCTGGCCAAATTTTATTTACAGAATATGAATTGAATATGACTTAGTATTCAACAAAAAAGCATTTATATTCCCTAGAAATCAAAGATAATGTATAATATTTTGTAAATGACTAACAAGTTGACGTGTCAAGATCACTAGAGGATAACTTCTGTAACTTCAAATTTAATATTTGGTATTATATGTTTATAATATAGAGAAATAATTGTATGATCGAATGAATTAATTTGTTCATTAATGGATATGCCTTATATAGGCTATTTACAACAGATTATACAACTGGAAGAGAGCGATTCCGTAGGCACAAATATAGAATCTAATTGACTATACATTTGAATATACAAAGGGAATTATAAATGTGTTGTATCAGCTCCTTGGATCGGATCTTCAGATTGCTCATAGACTGATGTATTGGGCTGCTATTGATGTTGTTTAATGGGCTCGGACTGTATATCCTTAATACGCCCCCGCAAGATAGAGGATCCATCGGAGATTCCAATCTTGGATCTGTTTCGGAGGAATGGAGCACGAGCGAGTGGCTTAGTTAACATATCCGCTAGTTGATCTTGAGAGTTGACATGAAAAACCTTGAGAAGACCGGAAGAGATTTGTTCCCTAACAAAATGGTAATCCAAAGCAATGTGTTTCATTCTGTAGTGATAAACAGGGTTTCCACACAAATAAGTAGCACCAGTGTTGTCGCAAAATAATGTAGGAGTAGTTGTAGGTGTGATACCCAGTTCTTGTAGTAAATTCTTTAACCATATGAGTTCGACAATAGCATTGGAAAGAGCTTTGTACTCGGTCTCCGTTGATGAGCGAGAAACTGATTTTTGTTTTGTTGACTTCCATGAGACAATGTTAGTACCCAAATAAAGTAAGTAAGCAGTTGTTGATCTACCTGCACTGTGAACACCTCCCCAATCAGAATCAGAAAATACCGAGAGAGTGAGAGACGAGTTTCGACTGAGAACAAGACTGTAGTGAATGGTGCCTTCAAGATAACGCAAGAGTGAGAGACGAGTTTCGACTGAGAACAAGACCGTGGTGAATGATGCCTTTAAGATAACGCAGAAGACGCTTGAGTTCTTGCCAATGAGTTTGATGGGGATTATGCATGAACTTGGAAAGTTTATTGATAGCAAAGGAGATATCAGGACATGTGAATGCAAGATATTGAAGTGAACCTACAAGTTTACGATACGAAGTAGCATCTACGGTGGGGGACTGATCGGTGATGGATAAAGGTTCAGTGGCACTAAGGGGAGTGGTGACTTCCTTAGCACCTTCCATGTGAAACTAAGTAAGGATGTCTTGTATGTGTCGGTGTTAAGAGAGAAACAAACCAGTGGGTGTAGGAATAACTTCGACACCAAGGAAGTGATGTAATGCACCAAGATCTTTTAGAGAGAACTTTGCACTTAGAGAAGTGATAAAGTGATCGAGAAAGTGGGAATGGTTACCGGTGAGTACTATATCATCTACGTAGACCATGAAGTAGCAAGTGATTGATTTATTTTGGTAAATGAACAGTGACACATCAGCTAACGATTTTTCGAACCCAAACCGAATTAAGGTGGTAGGTTCGATGTACCAAGCCCGTGGGGCTTGTTTTAAGCCATAGATGGATTTCTTGAGTTTGCAAATATGAGTAAGGTATTTGGGATCAGTGTTGCCAGGTGCTTGTGTCATGAATACTTCTTCATGAAGTGTACCATGAAGAAATGCATTGTTAACATCTAATTGTCTTAACGGCCAATTGTTGGAAAGAGCAATGGATAAAAAAGTGCGTAGAGTAACAGGTTTAGTGATCTGACTGAAGGTATCAAACTAATCCTTGCCATATTGTTGTAAGAAACCTTTGGCTACGAGCGGGCTTTATATTTAGAGATGGAGCCATCCGGATTGCGTTTTATTCGAAAAACCCATTTGCAGCCTATGGGTGTGTGAGTGGAGGCAGGAACTAGTTCCCAAGTATTGTTTTGAATGAGTTCATTAAACTCGGAGTCCATTGCAGATCTCCATTTCGGGTCTTTGGAAGCTTGATTATGGGTAGTAGGTTCGAGGGTTGTAGGTATTGGATGTAGGGTGGTAGTATTTATGAGGTTGTTGTCGAAGTATTTTGAGTTCCGTTTTTGGTTTCATTGTTGGTAAGGTGTGACAGATACAATAGGCGGATCAATATTTGATGAGCAGGTGGTTGGTTGCTGTGTAGGAGACTAAGGTGCGGTGTGTATGGGTGAAGGTGGGGGCTGTTGGGATGGGGCAGTGGGTGGAATTATCTTAGGAGATGCAGCTGTTGGTTCAATATCTAGAAGGGTTCTAGTTGCTGGTGGTGGGAAAAGTGGTGATGAGATAGCCGAGGCAGGGGTAGAGGTGGTTGGGGCTGTATGTGATGGTGTTAAACGACCCAAAAATTTTGTTTTTCAATATAACCAAAACCATAATCTGAGTGTCATATCATAAAACCATACGTGATGTATCCCAAACATAATAAAAACACTGTGCGGAAAACTATATCATACTATGTCAAATCAAAACAAACTAAATCAATTCCCAGGATAAAAGCTAAAGCTGTGGTGTGTGCGATGCTATCACCCCGAGCTCTTCCCTTTGCTTGCGGAAGTACCTGAAACCAAAACTGAAACTGTAAGCACGAAGCTTTGTGAGCTCCCCCAAGCTACCACATACCATACAATATATAAATAAGCACATACTGGGCCTTGCCCACTGCATCAGACCGAAGTCTGGAACTAGCTGCATCGGACCGAAGTCCGGAACTGACTGGGACCTTGTCCCCTGCATCGGACCAAAGTCCGGAACTAACTGCATCGGACCGAAGTCCGGAACTGACTGGGACCTTGTCCCCTGCATCGGACCGAAGTCTGGGACTAACTGCATCGGACCGATGTCCGGAACTCACTGCATCGGACCGAAGTCCGGAACTGACTGGGCATAGCATAGCATAGCAAAAACATATTTCAAATAGCATGACACAAATGATCATAAACTCATATACTGCATACTACGTCAGGCCGTAGCCCATAACACTTAACACATAAATCCTGTCTGAGCCACGAAGGCATCAAACAAACTAACAACTGCATCGGACCAAAGTCCGGAAACTACTGCTACTAAACGGGCCGACATTGTGGCCTTAGACCCGTTCCTACTGGAAGGAAACTCACCTCGTAAACTGGTTGCTGAGTGTATGACTCTGGAATCTAGCTGCTGCTGCTCCGGTATCTACCCGGCTACAAGTCCATAAACACACTCAATCAAATATTAAACACTGCACTTGGGTAAAATGACTCTTTTACCCTTGGTCAAAGTCAACTCTCATTTGACCTGACTCGCCGAGTTGGGCCGCCAACTCGCCGAGTCTCTACTCTCACACCTCAACCCTACTCGCTGCTACTCGTCGAGTATGGCATCGACTCGACGAGTACCCTCTCGATCCAAGAACTCAGACAATCTTCATCCGACTCGCCGAGTCATATGAACAACTCGACAAGTTGCTCTTGAGCTTAAGAAGATTGCCTTAGACTCGCCGAGTTGTATGAACAACTCGCCGAGTCCTTCCATTACTGAGTCTACCCTCAACTCGCTGAGTCCACCCCACTACTCACTGGTCCCACTCGACAGACACCGCTCAAAAGGAAGAAATCGGGGACTCGCGACTCGACTCGCCGAGTCGTTCTTCCGACTCACCGAGTCACCGCCATGCAATTATTCTATACTCGATTCTGCTCGAATCCAAAACATACAAATGATAGATCTAAGTCCAATAAGCTGGTTTACCACGTAAAGTTCCCAACTTTACGTGCACAAACACAAGAACAAGGGAATAAAGGCTAAAAGATGCATAAAAGGGGTAGATCTAGGGTTAATATGCAAAATAGCTCCAAAAAGGCAATAGATCTGGGCTCTACAAATCCTAAATACACAGATCTAAAGATATCTCGGCATAATAAGGCTTCCATATCAACATAAGGCTTGAGAAAGGCATCAACTAGATCTAAAAAGGGTTTTTAAGCATAAAAAGGGAAAGAAATCAGAAGAATACCTCAAAGAGCTCTTGCTTTCCCTTGAATCTCTGCTCTACACTCCTTCTCCTTGCTCCTTTCTTCTTCTCCTTCTTCAAGCCTTCACAAATGCATAAAAAAAATCACTCACAACACTCAAGAACGAAATTAGGGTTTTCTCACAGCTTCTCAGGGTGAAGGAGGAGAGAATGAGGGCCATAAGGTGGCTTAAATAGTGGGCAACCCGGGGATTTAGGGTTTCTCCCAGACGGACAGACTCGCCGAGTCCGGAATATGGACTCGCCGAGTCTCCAGCTAACACGTGCTCGAAATCCCGACCCTACTCGGCGAGTCAGGCTATGAACTCGCCGAGTCCCTCTTGCAAAACTTCAAAACAATTACCAAGGAATTAACATACCGGAAACGGGTCGTTACAATTCTCCCCCACTTATCTCATGTAACGCCCGTAGATCCGGGCTAGTCAATTTAGAGGCAATATGGGTCGAAAACGAATTTTCGGCAAAAGATTATTTAGAATAAATAATTTTAACCAAGTTATAGTATATTTCACAAGGTTTCTGTACATATAAAGAACGCCGAAATCTGAGTTATAACGAAGAAGTTATGGCCCGTCGAAGTTTTACGGCAAAACCGACACGGCACCGGGAAGCGTAAAAAGTGAATTTACGATAGAGCGAGATTTAGCCTTAGCGCTCTAAATGAAAGTCGTAGAATATGTTAAACTAAGAACATCGA